GGAAGCAAATACTTCGGCTGCGGATTGCGTCATTCCGCTCGCAGCCTCGCTGGCCTCCGCTCCACGTTCTCCTTCTATGGAGCAGGGACGGGCTTTCGGCGGAGGGGGACGCAGGAAGCGTGCAGAAGGCCCTTGACGTGCCAAACCTCCCCGCACGGACCTCACCAGCGGCTCCGCGATATTGGCTGGCACGCCACTCCCTTCTCCTCAAGTTTAAAGCAAGGTCTCTGTCCTCGGGTACCGACCCGGACAGGTTATCTGCTGAAATTCGCAGCGAGGAACGGGCAGCAATGTATCATGTGAACGCTATCACAGGATACTTGTGACTCCCCAGCTTGCAAAAGTGCCAATGAGAGGTTTAGAAATAAGATGTCAGTAAAGGAAATGCCCATACTTTTCCAAAAAAAACCACCCAGCTGCTAAAACGGCACTTTCTGTTCTGGGCGGTTCAGATCAGGACAAGAGCAGCTTCTGTTTCCAGTCATACGTGCCTTCAAAATCCAGATTGCTTCAGAATTGCAAGTGTACGGGGAACTGTAAATAAATGCATTTTATGATGATAAGTGGTGAGTGGGCTTCTCTGCAGCAATTACATCGCTTTCCCTAGTGAGAGTCTAGGAGCGACTGATACGCAGATCTCATTAGCCGAAACTCGTACATGCATGAAGTTCTGTCGCGCATGTATGTACGGACAAACACATCTACAGATAAACCTCCTTTAAGAGACAAAAAGATAAAAGGGAGGACAAAGAATCATTCCTTCGACAGTCTTAAGAGCTTCAAAAAGCAGGAGAGGATTCGATTTTTATCACTACAGAGCAAACCAACAGAATTAAACAGCAGCGTATGTTGTCAGGGCATTTCCAGCCTCCCACGGCGTGGAGATGCAGCCCACCAAAGGTCTCGTTTCCACAGGGTGTGCAAGGTGGACTCGTCACTAACCTGTGGGCTCCAGAAAGCCCGAGCTGCTGTGTGGGAAAGGCGGTGTCCCAGCGGTTGTGGCCTTCTTGTCGTCCCCCTCGACTCCATCTTTTCCCGTCTCCAGTGTCTGCGGGGTGGTCGTACTAGATCGACCAAACCTCGAAAAAAGCATCCCGCCGAGGCCCTTCCCAATACTCGCAGCGCCTGCATTCAGCACGGATGAAAAAAAACACACAAAAACCAAGCGCAAGGGCAGCTAAATCAAACCGCAAATTGAAGTCACTGTAGCACTCATCAATTAGAGTTGATTGACAGATGAAGGAAAACACTATTCGTGCTTTTCTAGGGTGGGAACAGCTTATCTGACTTCAGTGTACACTGTTTATCGTGAGAGTAATCTAGCGTACATGCAAAGGCTGTAATTTGGAAACTGTAGTTAGGGGAACAAAAATACACGCGAAGAGTTCTGCAGCAAGAAATCTGGTACTTTTACAGATATGTTGTATTTCTGCTTTCATGAAAAGACTACGGCAAAAATGCTTTATAACAACCTTAGTACCTTCTGCACATAAGAATCCCAACGAGACATCTAAGACACTCCTGCCATTAAGGGTCCTTATGTTGGCATCACCCTTACGGACATTTAGAAATGCTGTATCATCCTTTAAAAGGACTATTTTGGTTGCTCAGGAAGAGGGGTGTAGAAGTTAAGAACAGATCTGTGATGCTTTCCCCCGACTTTGCTGCCACCTTATGGACAGGACATTAACGTATAGTGTTACTATAGTAACACAGCAATTGAAATACCACCTATTTCCACTTAAGGACTAAACTGTTTTTATATACTATACTTATTTGACTGGGAAGATTCCTGGCACTAGGTTACATTAGCCTTCTTCTAAATCCTACATAGAGAGCTAAAGAAAAGCCTTGAGTCAACAAAAACTGCAAGTGCATACTCAAATATAAGCTCCAGTGAAAGTCAATTTAAGCTCAGTCAAACCAGGGCTTATTTTGAGTCATAAAGCCAGACAGGGACAGACTCCATATTAAAACAGCCTGAATTTCCTATTGTAAAGTCACGAGTTAAATGAAACTGTAATAGCTTTCATACTGATTTTTCTCCTCTTTGCCAATATGAGAAAACGTAGTTGCAAAACAAGCTTTAATTTTTTTTTTCCCCCCATTATTTCCCCAATATTCCCCTATTAAATCATGAGGATGTTACTTCAATAAGGCAGAAAACAATAAGGCAGCAATAGCATAAACTCCCTGACCCACATCCTCTCCCTGCAAGCCTTGACTCCAGTGTACAAAACTGTCTTTTCAAAGTAAATGTCATCTGGGATTCAAACAGGTCATACACCTATATAGAACAAATTGAAACAGCCAGGAATATCTTGTTTACAGTTGCAGCCCAAACAGTGAAGCTCTACAAGAAGGTCATATATATACACACACACACACAGAGACATATATTAAAAAAAAGGACATAAAGAACAATTACCTAATATACTCGCTTTGCCAATGTTTGTTATAGACTCCCCATAGTGGCGTCGAACCATGACTGGTGAAGTAGTTGGGCTCGGTACAGTTGAGACACTTTCGCTATCAGTAACTGAGGTAGGTTCTTTTGTTGGATTGAGAAAACTTGGCTTCATATGCTCGTAAGGTAGAGGGTTTGCAGTGTTGTACCAGTGGATCTGGACAGGCGAAATGTTGCTGTAGTGTTTCAGAATTAAAGGTTCTAACCTATAGGCCTGCAAGAGTAATTCAGAAAAGAAAATCCTGACTGTCAAGACTGAAAAATCACATTCCCTTCCCATCCAGAGTCCTCTCCAACCTCAAATCCAAAATATCCGCAAGGAGTGAAGCCTAGGAAGTGGCAGAATGGTGGCCTTATGTTCTGGTTCACTTTTATTTTCACAGCCTGGAAGATGTTGCCTAGTTGCTTGTACATTCACATTTGCACGCTTCTCTGCAACACTTCTACTACCTGTTGTTATGAACACCCAAGTTACTGTTAACAGATGTTTGTCGTTATGCATTGGCAGAGCAAACTTTTTACACAGTTAAACCGATTCTGCCCAACGCAACAGAGGGAAGAACTGGCTACGTAAACATTTTGTTTGATGACTCTTCACTGATCCTTGTGCATACCATGAATTGGTCTGCTTATTAAAAAAAAAAAAAAAAAGCATTTTCTATTGATCCTTTGTTTTTCTTTGTTTACGCAGATGTAGAAAAGCACTCTGCACTTCTCTGTCTGAAAACTAAGTAAGGTTACTATTTGCGGAGTGGGACCACGGATTGCAGCCTGACCAATCCTCCTAGACGTCGCAGGGAAATTCTGGTTTTGGAGTAGCTGGAGCTGAAAAAGACCTTGAGATGAGCAGAACCAGCATGTTTGGATTGAAGTCTGAATATACTCAGATTCAGGTAGAGTTTAAACACAGAAGTATCCCCAAATTACTATTCTACAGTAAGCATGAAGACCCAAATCAAGCTTGCATCAAAGAAGTTGTCAAGGTGATGCAGATCAAAGGTCAGCATCCTGCCTTTGATAACAGCCAACACTGGCTGCCTATGGAAGAGTGTAAGGACAAGGCAGAGCTGTTCCAAAACTGCCCTCCCAAGACCTATCCCACTCTCCAACAACCTGTTACTCTGGACCCGTTGGGAAAAAAAAGAGAGTCTTTGTTTTTCTACAGTATCTTGTAAACTTGTATCTTGTGAGGCCTTTTGTAGTGTCTTTGGACAGATGATGTTTAATGAAAGTTAGCAAGTTAAACACAAGTTGGAACTTGACCGAGAAGGATTATTTCTTATGTCTTTGCAAAAAAAAAAAAAAAAGCTCAGTAATCTCGAACCTTATGCTTATTAAAATGAAGAGAAACAAAGTATATGGTATTTAAGGCAATTATTCGTAGAAACTGTTACTCTACAGCTACAAAAACCAAGACATTGTACAATAATCATCAACAAATAGTCCTGTGCTGGAACATACTTGCGTTGAATTCACACACATTGAAGATCACACATTATCACACAGCTGATGCTTAAAAATAGTCACGGTAAAAGCTTGCAACTGCAATTAAAACTCACCACTGGATCTGTTGGATGAAAAATATTTAGTAAGCGGTTACAAATTGTTCTGGGCAGAATATGATCTTGACTACCGCTGTTTCCTGGACGGATGCCACGCAATGCCAAAAACACTGCTAATGGAGATCCCATACAGAAGAAATTCTCAACCTAAGGAGAGATTTCATCCGCGTTAATAAGGTTGGAAATATTGCTTTATAAGATGGCTGGATTTGGTTTCTCTCTTTCAACAGATTTCTCAGTTTCAACTGAGGGACTCGTATAGTGTTAGTAAGTCAAAATGGGGAAGACCACTATAACATACATACTATAACACGAAAGTTAAGTTTCCCATTCTCCTTTGCTGTGAGAAGAGAGTTACATGTTGTTGTGCTACATAGTTGGAAAACTGAAAACCAAGTTGGATATTTGAACTGAAAGAGGTCTATCAACACTGGAAAGGCTGGAGTGAGAAGAATGTTGAAGACGCTAAGGAAATGTGATGAGTTTCAGAAGATTCCTCATGAAACTTCCCAAAGCTTGCCACAGCTCCTTAATCATACCCTAACCAAGTACTCCATGATTTGTTTTGCTATACACACCCACTGATGAAGTAGAAACGCAAGCTACACTATAACAGACAACCTAGAGAATACTTACAGTAGTAAGTAATACTTACTATGTAATACCTACACATACAGGCTGGTGTTACGTACAACCTCTTTAAAACAACCGGTGTTAAGTGAACAGGAAGTTGCTTGTCAAAAGTGCCACCACATCACACATTAGGAACCACTACCCAGGACAGGTACAGCACACTGAGCGACTCCGCAGGCTACTCTCACGCTGTCCAAAGCTACCGTGACTTTACTCCCAAAAGGACTGCCTCTAACACTGAAAGGCAACTGAGTAAACCTGAACCCCAACCGCTAACCCATCTGTCAAAGGTCACTGAATATGCATCAGTGGTAGCGACTTTTGGTCACTACCAACCCGGGCCGGGATGCAACAGTGACCTAGAGGTGAATGGCTTCATATCCCATTACCAATCCTCAGACATCGTCTCCTAGAAACATCAAATGTAAAACTCTGTAGTCAAAAATATTTTCGTAAGTCAAAATTACTTTTCAACTTTTAGAATATTTTCTTATAAGAAGAATTAATTTTACCGTTACCAGACCTTCACTGCAACTTTCCCAACAGCAGCGCCCAGTTTGCAGGGCACGACGACTGAGCGACTCGAGTGCGCTGCTACTTAATGAGCAAGAGGAATTGCTGCATTCTTGCCTAGTGCATGTGGAGGATGCTTGGATTCCCATGTGCCTTCGCTGTATGCCAGCACATGGAGCGAGGGTGTAGAAATAATGGTCCGTTTCATCTATCGGATTCCAGCAGTGCACAAAACATTCCTCCTTCTCTGACTTGGCACTGGTACCCCATCTCTTCCTTCCAAAAGGACGCGCAAGTCCCAATTCAATGGGAAAAAAAAAAAAAATCTAGGTCTTCAGCAAAGCTATTCAGTGTCCCATGCTGCAAAGCACCGCTCTGTCATCTATATTGTTACTCTAGGCTAGTACAAAGCCGCTTTCCTTTCTTATAATCAAGCTTTACAGAGACCCTTACAGTTTTGCAGTTTGGACAAAAAGCTTTCTCATCTTCAAATACAATAGAAACAGATATTCACAGTGCAATCCTTTAAACTGAATAAGTAACCTTTAACCCTGTCCCTCTGATATTCCCGTATCGAGCGCCTGGAGGACACAATTACAGTCTTTCTGCTTTAGAAAGAAATCAGAAGGTGACTGCCAGCTTACACTCGCTAGCAGGTGCTTAAAAGATGTTTTCACGAATTCACCTTAGTCCACTACAGACTGGGCAAAAAATAGGTTCAGTGGTTACATGGTGCATGCCTTTTGTTCCATCGTTCCTCTCGATAAACACAGGATTAACAGTGCCCACAGACAGATGCTTTCTTCTTGGAGGGCACTGCTCTTTGCTGTGTATTTTCTTATAAGCGCAAGCCTTTCAACACGGTCTTCCGTCTCTGCAAATGCTTACAAAGTACCAGTTCGTGGCTACCTTAACAGGCGGCACCAGACCAATACCAAAGCAGTGAACACTAAAAATCCAAAGTAAGTCTTCCAAAAATAAAGTCCTTTAAATTGCAGCCATTAGACTCTCAGCTCTGTTGCAAAGTGGCTGAAGAGAAGACTGCCATGCCACGAAACCTACTGGGAACAGAGGACTAAAAGCTTTCTAGAAAACATCTATTAATTTCGGTGTTTCTCTTAGAAGCAGGAGTGGGGCACTTCACATATAGTTCTGTAAGCGTTTAACAAACAGAGAAAAAATGTTTAAGAGCACAACCCTTCAAGAGAGCGCTTTTCTCCTTAGTATGATTCATAAACAGAAGACTTAATTAATTTATTTGTCTTTTAAGCAGAAGTAGAGCAAACAGTCACCCATTCAACTTAAGACTGCAGTATTTTCAGAATTAAAAAAAAAGCTGAATGAGCCAACAGAAGCAAGGCAGCACAGCCCATTTGTGCACAGGTAAGCGTGGGGGATGAATGGATGTGCTTAGTGGTGACGTTAAAACAGAAGATGCAGAAGGTGATTACAATTTATATTTCTGTGTTGCCCTTCAGCCTGGAGGATCCCAAACAGCCTCCCAGAGCAAGGAAATACAGACCTCTGCAGCAGCCTTTACCCATTCCTACAGCCAGGAACGTTCTGCAGCAGACAAAGAGAACAGAGACTTACACCAGTATCACGTGGGGAGTTTAACTGGGCGGTTGTGTGTTGAACTACTACGGCACATTTCTGCATTCAGTTTAAAGGCTGCCTCCTCTCAGATAAGGCTGCATGTCAGCATCCCATAAAGGTCTCGTAATTCTTGGCCATGTGGTAAATCATTAGTATCTTATAAATGATTTGTGATAGTTGTTATCAACATTGACATCACTGCCAGATGATGCTACGTAGAAACCACAAGGTTAAGGACAACCTGGAGTTTTTTCCAGAAGAGTTTCTGTAACTCTGAGTGAATGAGAAGTGCTAAGGAATCCTGAAGCACTTTGGGCCGGCACATTGTCAAGTCCAGATTTAAATGAATTTCCTCTTCAGTACTAGGGAGCAACTGTGGTATGTCCCGCCCTCCTCTTCCTCACTGTGACTGAAAATCATCCTACAACACGGTTATTTTCATACACCACAGAGTCATAAGGAGGTAGGTATTGCACCATTCCCCATGTTTTCATGTTCTTCATCCCCTTTAACCTTTAACTCCAATTCCTCTTACATAGCAGGTGGGGAGAAGGCTGTGCCTCTAAGCTTTACATTTACAATGGTGTGTTGGCTTTGCTTTTAACCCACGCAGGTCCTAATGACTTAGCAGTTAATTCAACTGTGCCATCTGAGGAGAAGTAGAGGAGAGCAAGCCATAAAGACAGCTCACCCTCAAGTTCTCATTCGGATAGCTTGTCCAATACATTATTAGAGCACACGACACACCAAATCTTCAAGGGTTTTTTTCTCCCCAAAGGGTCAGTCAAACACAGATTATTTCCTCTAATATTAGATACCAAGTTGGCTGCTATATTTATTCTTATACTTGACTTATCAAAAGCTACCTTTGTGCTTAAGGCCTTTGACATGGTTGCCCACAACATCCTTCTCGTTAAATTGGAAAGATATGGATTTGATGGGTAGACTTCTGGGTGGATGAGGAATTGGTTGGATGGTTGCATCCAGAGGGTAGTGGTCAATAGCTCAATGTCTATAGGGAGATCGGTGACAAGCGGTGTCCCTCAGGGGTCCATACTGGGACCAGTACTCTTTAATATCTTCATCAGTGACACAGACAGTGGGATCGAGCGCACCCTCAGCAAATCTACAGATGACACCAGGCTGAGTGGTGAAGCTGACACGCCTGAGGGACAGGATGCCATGCAAAGGGACCTGGACACACTTGAGAAGTGGGCCCATGTGAACCTTATGA